CTGACCCGGGACTGACCCCTGCCGGTTGCTGCTGCCCAGCCCTGTGGCCGCTCCGGGCTCGGCCTTGGCACACGTCCCGGGCGGCGGAGCGGGGCCGGGGCCGCGGCGGTGCCCAAGCGCAGGAAACACCCTTGCACGGTGACAGCAAAATTGCACAAGGGAGCCAGGGTGCCGCCGGGGCAGCGGGTGCCGGGGCGGGCTGGGTGCTGGGGAGGAGCTGGGTGGGGAGGAGGAGATTCGGTGGCCAGGGCCAGTCAGGGGGTCAAGATGGGGGTCTGGATGCGTCCCCAACGCCCCTGACTACCTTTCTGTCTCCCTGTTAGGAACGAGGACCGGGAGCGAGCATGGAGGGCGTCCCGGGAGACCAAACTGGAGACCATCCCAAACTGTGAAGCATGGTGAGTGCAGGGGCAGCGCCACGGGCGTGGGCCAGGGAGACCGGCACGGCATGGCACGGCACAGCATGGCACCCACTGCCACCCTCCATGGCACCCAGCCCTGCATCCTGCCCGCTGGTGCACCCACGGGGAGCAGGATTGGGGTGCCAGGACTCGGGGGTTCCTGGTGCTGCTTCCAGCGGCGTGTCCCTGGTTCCCTCTGAGAAATGGGGAGCCCGGAGCCACGGGCTGCAGCCCTCTGTGACTCTGGCCCTTGGGCCCCTTGGAAAGGGAAACTGAGGCATGCAAGACCTATCAGGCCATGTCCCAAGGGCAGAGCCTCATCCTGCAGGCACCCTGCTCTGGGGATGCCCTGCACTGAGCACCCACTCCCTGAGGGACGGGTACGACCCCCTGCATGCAGCCCAGCCATGGGTGCTCTCTGCAGCACCTGGTGCAGCAGGGATAGGGGTCAGATGTGCTAATTAGCCACTGATAATGATTGCTCCTGCCTGCTTTAGCAGGTGATGCGTATCTGCTGGGGAGCAGCCTCCCTCTCTCCCTCCCCCAGCCGTTAGTGATGATGGACCGATGTCGGTCTCTCCCCGGCCGGGGCAGCTCAGAGCTGCCGCTCTGGAAGGGAAGGGCTTTTGCTCCCTTTTGGGTTTGTGCAAAGCCAGCACCAAAATACATCTCAGCTTGGAAAATTCAGCTGAAAGCAAGCCCATGCTCCAGCCCGGCCGAGCGGAGCCGGGACAGACCCCACGAGCGACCTCTGAAAGCCTCCGTAATAACTGGAGCCCAAGCAGGAACAGCCTCGGCGTGAGCACGGGGGATGTGTTCGGGCACGGTCCCTCTGGGATGGGACCAGGGATGAGCACGGCTGAGCCGTGCAGGGAAGGACACAGCGGGGAGCCCGCAGCCCTCCCGGGCTGACCGTAACGCTGTCCCCTTGCCTTCCCTGCCGGGACCCGGCAGCACCAAACCCACGCCGGAGGAGGTGCGGGGCTGGGCACAGTCCTTCGACAAGCTGATGAAGAGCCCGGCGGGTCGCAACGTCTTCCGGGAGTTCTTGCGGACTGAGTACAGCGAGGAGAACATGCTCTTCTGGCTAGCATGCGAGGAGCTCAAAAATGAGTGCAACAAGCACACCATCGACGAGAAGGCCAGGATGATCTACGAGGATTACATCTCCATCCTCTCGCCCAAGGAGGTACGGGGCAGAGCCCCTGCCACGGCTCTCAGGGGGTGGCTGAGGCTAAAAAGGAGCTGGGGGGGCCTTTCTTAGGGAAAGGGCTCTGTCCCGGCAGCCACTGCAGCCCTGCAGCAATTTGGGGATGGGGTGGGTGGTTGGGGATGAGTTTGGCAGGGTAACGGGTTTGCTTCATGCTTGTGCACGGCGGTGGGGAGGGCGTCCGGCAGCGGGACCGCAGGCCGGGCTGTGCTGCGGGGCCGAAACCTCACGAGGGCACCAGCGGGCTGAGGAGATGCTGCAGCCCAGCTCACAGCATCCCCAGAGTGGGGGCACCCAGGGTGGGAGCACCCCAGCCTGCCTCCCTGCGCCCAGCCAAGGGGACACGGGGAGGACCCGGAGACCTCCCCGCTCCCCTCTCCAAAACACCCTGCCTCCGGTGCAAGTATAGTCCGGGGTGGAGCACGCCGCGGTCTCCCCACGACTGGCCACGTGCCACGTTGATACCCAATTTCCCGCGAGAGCTTGTACAGGGGTGCAGGGGTGGGTGCTGGGGATGGGGGCTCAGCATCGGGGGTCCCTCAACCTTCCCCCCCCCCCCCCTTTTT